CTACCTTGATAAAGTGCTTCTTGAAGCCTGAAAGCTTTACTGTGCTTAAATTAGCTGCCTGTTCTAATAGCATAGCTTACCATTAGAATTTTACTTTGGGGAAGACTGAAAATGTTCCCAGAGGACATCTAGAATACTTGATCCCTACCATTTCTAGCTACTGATTTTCATATGTGACATATTAAATACAAGTAGTCTGCAACTTACAATCACAGTTGGGCCCCAAATTTCCATTGCTAAGCAAGGCAGTTGTTTGCCCCATTTTACGATCTTTCCTGCTATGGTTATTAAGTGAATCACTACAGTTAAGTTGGTAACACAGTTGTTAAGCGAATCTGGCTTTCCCATTGATTCTGCTTGTCAGACGGTTGCAAAAGCTGATCATGTGACCCTCCAGGACACTGTAGCCATCATAAATACATGCCAGTTGCCGAGCATCCAAATCTTAATCACGTGACCATGGGGATGCTGAACGGTCTTAACTGTGAAAAACAGCCATGTCACATTTTTCTGTGCCATTGTAATTTCGAACAGTCACTAAACAAATGGTTACAAGCAGAAGCCTACCTGCATATATTATCCAATACATATTAAAACCCAAATGTCACCTTTTTTTGTCCCAATCAGCGCACACTCCAGAAGCAAAGCATGGTGTATGGGGGAAAATCAACCATCCGGGACCGTTCCTCTGGGACAGCTTCCAGTGTGGCCTTCACCCCACTGCAGGTAAAGCATTGCTCTTGACTTATATTCCAGTTTCCTGTTACTCATCCATAACAGGAATGCTAGATCATGCTTGGGAGGAATATGAGCCTCCTAAGAATCTTCTGCCTTGTCTTCTTTTTACAAAACAGACCAAACCAAATTATAAAGTAATTTTCTGTCTTCAGTACTTTCTGAGTTTGGTTGTTTTCTTGCAGACATTTCATTACCCAAACTAGATAAAATCATCACTGATTATGTTACTTAGTTTGGGTAATGAAACATCTGCAAGAAAATGAGCAAGCTCAGAGAGTACCAATGACCCCCTCATTTCAACTGCAAATCTTCTCCTTTGTTGGTAATCTGTCTCCAAGCTGGGGATACTGGAGTATATTACAGCCCTTCCTCTCTTTTTGAGCAGCCTCTTCTAACCTGATGCTCTCCGTTGTTTTGCAATTGCAACTCCTAGAATTCCACAGCTGAAGGTTGCCAGGCTGGATAAACTCTGCACAAATCTTTGTTTTTATTTTGCCCGTGCAATCTTTCTCCTATCTATTTGCAGGGTCTGGAGATTGTGAATCCACAGGCGGCTGAGAAGAAGGTCACTGAAGCCAATCAGAAGTACTTCTCCAGCATGGCAGAATTCTTAAAAGTAAAGAGTGAGAAGAGTGGCATTATGTCCACCTCATAGCAAATACGGATGCTGCTGTTTCGATCAGTTGGAACCACATCACACATGCTGATAGAAAAGTCTACACTGGACATGGACCTTGTTGAGGTTGAAGCTCAATAGATAATTTGACTTTTACAACTCAAGGTTCTTTCCAGATATCCTATTGACATCAGGTCCCCCCCCCCTTTCTGTTCTCATATAATCCACCAGAGAGCCTGCTATTGTTTTAACTATTGATGCAGTGGAATGGCCTAATAGAACTGAATTCAGTTTTCAAAATAAGTTAGTTAAGCAGTAAGCTATTTAATGGCATATACAAGCTGTCCTGAACAAACGTGTCCTGTCTTCCCCATCATATATTGTCTTATGTGTCAATTTTAAACTAATTTTGAAAATACACACTGAGATGCTACCATTCTTTTTCCATTGCTATCTAGGAGCACTGGGTAGCTAATCCTTCTAGATTCTGAGTTAAAAAGAGATTACTTAGATTAAAAAAAACACTTTGCTTCCTGTGCATTAGATTACATATTTCTCAGGAATTAATTGTAACAGGACTACATGTAGGAGGTGGGGCATTAGAAAGAATTTTTCTATAGTGCTTCTGTACTTGGGTGCCTCCCTATTGTGTGGGTTTGGGCTCCCAGGATTCCTTAGCCACGTGGCTATTGTTGAATTCGGGGGATTAAAGTCCACCCATATGGAAGTTTTCAAACTTGGGAAAAACTGCTATAATTAGGAGTGCACCTTCCTTAATTCATGTACGTCTAGATGGCCATGCTAACCTGGGAGTTGTAACCTAAGACCTTTGGACAGCACGGAGTTAGGGTAGGAGTTACTTATATTTAAAGGGGGAGAGGTAAGAGTGCGTCATATGTATCTAAACCAAAACTTGTGATGTTATATGTAATAATGTGGTTGAGTGTAACTGGGGATGACCTGATAAATTGCATTCTATTTCTAATACACAAGTGAATCGTTAAAAGAACATTTTTTTCTAACTTCCAGGTGTCAATGGGAATTTTATTTAGTGTTATTAAAATCATAGTTGTTAAAAATTAGTCTCTTTCTCAATCAAGGGCATAGGATCATGCTGGATATGTGTATATAACAATAAGACAGTGAATCTGAGCTGACATTTCATTACTTTCAGGAAGATCAGCTAAAGGATGGTGAAATAGCTAAAGTTTTCTTGTATATTTTACTTAACAATAGTTTTAAAAATGCATTTAGTATATATTTTGGAAGAATCATTATTAAGACCTGTATCTAATTCCATTGTTTTGTGGAGTAAGAATAGAGGAGAATTCTTGCTGTCTGCTGTCTTGTGGCTTGGACATTATTCTCCTAAGCATAGCCCTTACTTCCTATACCTTTGGGGTAGGACTTCACCTTCTGGTAAATTGAGCACAGATTAGATGCCATCAACAGTTGTCATCAACTCTTAAGAGAACACATAGATTTCCCCCCCTCCCCCATGAAATTTAGCATAGACAAAACATGTCACTATGCATTTGGTTGTAAAATACTGTAGCTATGCCTACCTCCATAATGATGGTGTTGCACGAAATTGACATAACAATTCTGTTCATTTCTGGCATGTGTATTTGGTTATGTTTTTGTGGGGATGGGCGCGTATCTCTGTTCTGTGGTGAAATTTCCCTTTAGAGAATAGAGGGGGTCACGTTATTCACCAAAGCACCAGAGATCAGAACAAGAAGGAATGGTTGGAAACTGATCAAAGAGAGAAGCAACTTAGAATTAAGGAGAAACTTCTTGATGGTGAGGAGAATTAACCAGTGGAACAGCTTGCCTCCAGAAATTGTGGGCGCTCCATCACTGGAGATTTTTAAGAAGAGGCTGGACAGTCACTTGTCTGAGATGGTATAGGTCAGGGGTAGGCAACCTTGGCTCTTTTGTGAATTGTGGACTTCAACTCCCAGAATTCCTGAGCCAGTCATGCTGAGTGGAAAGGGAGAGGTTTCCAAGTTGAGCCATGCTGGCTCAGGAATTCTGGGAGTTGAAGTCCACGAGTTATAAAAAAGCCAAGGTTGCCTACCCCTGGTATAGGATTTCCAGCTTGAGCAGGGGGTTGAACTAGAAGACCTCCAAGGTCCCTTCCAGCTCTATTTCTATTTTATTCTATTCCTATCCTGTTCCTATCCTATTCTAATATTCTAATAGCCAACGTTGTAATACCAGAGATTTAATCTGGCATTTTCCATTGCTTCACAAAGAAGCAAAAGTGGCTGAACCATTTTTGCAGGCTTAATCATGCTAGCAGTATTCAGGAGGTGAAACTCTTTAGTCTTGTTTTGTTTTGTAGCAATATAATCTGTTGTGCAACCCTGTGACCTGAAACCATTATGACCAAATAAGTTCTGAAAACAACCATCAGTACCTCCAGAAATGCAAAATGCTTCCTCCGATGGGCAAAGACAAGGTATCCAAACCTTTAGAGAAAGAGTTAAATTTGAAAAAAAAAATAGGAAAAGAATATTGTTAATAGACTGAATTTGAGAATTTTTAAAATATTTTAAATAAAAACCCAGAAACCAGCTACAGATTTACCTAGGGACCTAATAAGTCTTTAAGGCAGATGTAAGAGGACAGGCTCATGTGTGCTTACTAACAGCGAGATTTGCTTGTTATTCTGTAAACGCAGCCCTGCAACTTATGCAACAATATGATTCAGCAAAGCAAGGGTTATATCACTATTGAAGTTGGTCTCTTTCTTTGATATGTCTCTTATTTGGATGCTGAGATTCTGCACATATCTCAATAGCAGCAAAGTACCTTCATTTTTATCAGCTCGTGAACGCTGCTGTGCCCGCCTAAATCTGTGACAAGCCTTTGTGATAGCTGGATAGGAAATGCTGAAATAAATCATTAAACCGAAGCCCGAATAGAACCTCTACCTTGGAAATGGGTCGTTCTTTCTTCCCTGATTGGATATTGTGTGTTTAATTGACAGGTTGCCTCTTAAGAGTTTCCTGCAGATTGTCCCGCCCCGACCCCTTTTACCTTAATGTAACCAGCTTCAAAACGTGCATGCCAATACAAAAGGGGAAGGTTCTACGGGGCGGCACAGCCGTCCAATGAGGAGACAACATGTGCAGGCTCGCTTGTTTACAGCCAATGGGGAGACACAGCCTCAAAATCTTTCGCGCTACCTCATTTTTATTAGTTTCAGCCAAATATCAGGACCAAGGAATAAATGACAAGGCTGCCATCCAATAGCCTTTCTTACTCTTGCCAGTATTCGTGTACAGGAAGCGATAGTCAATCATATAAGAATGAGATTTGAGGGACAGTTTTGTTACCCATTAGGAGGCAGGCTTTGACGTAAACTCCGCCTTCCCGGCTTGTTTTTCGCGGAATAGTAGGCGTAACATAACTACTCTATCTGCGCCTCTTCAACCAATGGTAGCCCAAGAGTGCTTTGAAGGACACCACCTCTTGACAAATAGATCCCATGCATTGCTATTAATGACAGCTGCGGCTGCGCCGCGTCGTCCCACCCTCCCCGTTCCCTCTTCCGTCCAGTTTCCTATTATCCAATCGGAATGGTAAGAGCTTGAGGAGCGGGAGGATTAGCCAATACAGATCAGGGGAGGGCGGATCGAGAGAAAGTAGAGGGGGGAGGCTGCCGCCATCTTGGATGCCGCGGAGCCCGAGAGACGGGGGCGAGAGAAAGAGAGAGGGAAGAAGAGGGAGAGTGAGAGAGACCCGAAGACGCCGGAGCTGCCGGTGAGACAGCGGGAGGGGGCGGGGCCTAACCGAGGGGCGGGGCTTGCAGGTGTCTACGGAGCTCCGTAGGGGGCGGGGCCAAAGTGTTTGTTGGGGGCTCCATAGGGGGCGAACGATGTTCAGGGCAATGCTGGTCCTATAAGTGTTGGGGAGGGGATGTCTCTGGAGTGGAAAGGGAGCTCCTACGGGCCTCGAGTTTCATGGGGCTCCGATCGAGGGGGCCCTGGAGAGGGGTTGGCAGGGCTGGGGTTCTAAAGGTGAGCCCCTCACCTGTAAGCATTGGGGCCCCTTAGGCCCCTATGGGCAAGGCAGAGCTGGTGTGGCAGCCTATGGTGGAAAAGCATGGGGTGGGATGCGGTGTAGTGTAGGTTGCTCCCAGTGGGATGTTTAATTTTTTCTACTGGTGATGCTAAAGGTGCCCATGGAGGTCCTGGAGTCTGTGCAAGAGGGAGCACCGAAATCACTAAAAGTTGCAACCTTTGTAAGGAGGCTAAGACACTGTCTGGAAAGAGGATGCTTTCTGAATAATCCCTAACCCATTTCAGTCTTGCATGGAGAAAGAAATCTGTAGGAAGGTTCTTCCCAGAGAGTAGTCTTCCGTGATTGGGGTTAGGCCCATTAGCCTGTCAGGGCAAAGATCCTCCCAACTACAAGAAACTCAGGGAGGTAAGAATATGTGTAAGTGAGTTTATCTTACATCCTTAGATAATGCAGAATACATAGATCCTTATTTGTTTACTCCTTCCAGTGCATTCTGCCGTGGTTAAGATTTTAGTGGGCTTTGCCTAGTGCTTTACATTAGTCAAGAGCTAGAAATCTTTCCACAGTTCTTAAGATGCAGAATTCTGCACTCTGCCTGATTTCTGCACATAAAAATACTGTAGCCTTTGGATATCACCTTGCCAGAATTGATTGTGCTGGTTGAAGGTTGATGAAGTTTGAACACACCTGGAAGATTCCAAACTTCTGTAGACCACCACAGTAAATAGAATTGCCTCTAATGTAGAAAATACTTTATGTTCCTGGTCTCTTTATCATCCTTACAAAATTTATTTCAGAAGAAAAAATGGAGGAAAGTCTCAACAGTGTAGTTACTTAAAAATTAAAGCTATGTTGCAAGATTTTTTTTATTATTGAATATTATTAATATTGAACATAATATCAACAGGGTGGTGCTATACAGACAATGCTAGATTTGCTGAATCCTAGTTTCAAATGCACAGTAGATTCTTTCAATAAACAAACACACTTTCTTTTCATGTATTTATTTTAAATTCTGCCTATCAGCTAATATTCACCCACAAAAGTAGCTTAGGCCAAAATTGTTAAAAACAAATCATGTTCTGTGTTTAAAGAGAAGTAATCACTGTCAGTGTAGGAATTGTCTGGATCTTTTGGGTTTCTGTAACTTGGATGCTGCCATTGCATAGAAAGACTTTCTCATACTATCACCAGCCAGATTTCGGATGAAAATTCATAACTAAAAGGCTCTTCAGGGATCTGAATGGGTAGATAACTTCATAATGCCCCAGCATCAATCCCCACATCATCAAGTTAAAGCAGGAGTCTTCAGTCTAAATCTTGTCTGATACTTTTGCTTATAACTCTCCATTCTTGACTGTTGCTTATTCTAACCATGTTTGGTAGTTTTGGTACAATAGTCTGGAGGGATTTGAATTAGGGAAGGTTGAGTAAAAGGATCTCTACATGGGAGATTCAGAAGGACCATCAGTTGAGGCTAGAGATAACTAATGCCACCTGGAAAAGACAGGCAGGCCAATATAGTAGCCTCATTTCATATAAGGTAGATTAACTATGGTGTGTTTGATAGTAGCAGACAGGAAGCAAACTATTCAATATACTGCCTGTGGGGATACACAGAGCCTCAGCTATGGTGGGATTTGAATTCCCAGGTTGACTGGACCACTTGCTATAACTTAATGGTGGCTTGTATTTTTACCCAGAAAGTTGGTCTACACTGCAAAATACAGTCAATAAAGAACTTATATGATTTGATTTCCTTGAGGTGGAAAGCATACTTCCAGATAGTTACGCCATCAAATCATAAGATCCAATGATATCATTTGAAGTTATAGTGTTGGTACAGGAAAGTACCGTAGCACTTTCTCCACACAAACCATACAGTTAAGGAAAATGCCATATTTCTTTTCTATGTAGCATGTTATTTACATTTGTGCCTTGAATGTAGAAACTCTTTTAAATGCTGTAGGACTTTGCCCATTGTATGATCCTATAAATATACCCCCACCCTGTACTACAATGAAAGTTATTCTTTGGCTGTTAAATCTTTAGAGATCCTTCATAGAAAATAAGGTTGCGGGGGATTATTTAGACAGTTGTATCCAACAAGATTTAGCAACTGAGATTTAAGCATCGGCAGCAAATGCCTATCCAGCCTCTGCGTGGACAACCTGAAAGCCTGTGAATACGTTAGAGTCACATCTGTACAGTTCTGGTCAGCACAATACAAAAAAAATTCTGAGACCCTAGAAAGTGCAGAGAAGAGCAACGAAGACGATAAAGGGTCTGGAAGTTAAATTGTATGGTAAATAATTGAGAGGAAGCTAGCCTTAATGAAGAGAAGGATTAGGGGAGACATGATAACTGTCTTTCTTTACTTGTGGGGCTGTCACAGAAAAGAGGGGATTGACCTATTCTCCAAAGCACCAGAGGGCAGGACAAGAAGTAATGGATGGAAGCTTGTTATCCTAGAACAGTGGTTCTCAACCTGTGGGTTGGGACCCCATTTGGGGTCGAACGACCATTTCACGGGGGTCGCCAAACAACGCAGTCCGCCATTTTTTTTCCTCCTTTTCCTTAGCTGTGCTACTCCCTTTTATTCTATTGGCTTTTGAAAGCCAATAGAATAGACTTTCTTGAATAGAGTCTAATTCTATTGGCTTTCAAAAGCCCATAGGAATTGTCCAGGCTGTCTCTGCCCTGCTGAGCCTGCCAAAAGTCCCATTCTGCAAACGGTGCTGTACCAATTGAGTAGTCCTCGACTTACGACCGGTTGAGTAGTCCTCGACTTACGACCGGTTGGGGGATCTCAGCATTAAAAAGGTTGAGAACCACTGTCCTAGAAGTAAAGAAAAACTTTCTGACAGTTAATGAGTGGAATAGTTTGCCTCCCAGAATTGTGAGTGCTCCATTACTGGAGATTTTCAAAAATAAACTGGACAGCTACTTGACCAAGATGTTATAATGCAGGGGTCTTCAAACTTGGCCCTTTTATGACTTGTGGACTTCCAGAATTCCTAAGCCAGCGTGCCTGGCTGAGGAATTCTGGGAGTTGAAGTCCACAAGTCATAAAAGGGCCAAGTTTGAAGACCCCTGTTATAGTGTCTCCTGCCTTGATAAAGGGATTGAAGTAAAAGGTCTCTTCCAGGCCTATAATTCTGTGTTCTCTATGGATATTCTGACTGGCCCCATTCAGCTGCAGTGGTCCTCCTTTTACTCTTTGAAAGATCAGTGATAAAAACAACTAGATATCAGCAAAACCTGTCTCCTATCCTGTTGGAGATATTGTTCAACCTTTGTGTGCTTCTATTCCCTACAGTGCTCTGTTCAAAAGGGAACAGTCTTGTCAGTTTCACCCTTTTTCCTTTTATATCATTATCCCCACATCTTGGAGGAGCCTGAGAGAAAGCATTTTCTATTAGACCACCTAGTGAGTTCATAACAGGGAGGAGAGATTCATAGCTAGATTCTTAAGCCACAGCTTAGCCCCTTAGCTGCTGCAGTGTTAGCACCGAGAGAAGCAAGGGTATTTGCATCAAGAAAAGATGGTCTCTTCTGAGAGGTCATATGCCAGCGAAGTACATGCTGGCATACCCTGAATCCTGCCATATATATGGAAGCTGGTATTAAGGAAATATGGAAGAATGTTATGTGGATTAGGTTCTGGTGGAGGAATTCTTTCTCATTACTCCTTCATATCATGTTCTCTGCAAATGGCATTTCAGTCTTAGCAGTTCAGGTTTGTTTGTCATTGCAACAATTGTATTCATGGTATGTGCTGCAGTAAGTCCCCATTAATATCCATATCTTACGTTGGTTGCTTAGAACAGATGTCCCCAACCTTTTGGGCACCAGGGACCGGTCCCTTGAGAGAGGTTTTTCCACGGACCAGAGAGCGTGGTTTTATGTGCTGCCTGCATCTCACGGATGGGGCTTTGCTTGTTTGTGCAGACCGGTTGCTAGCATGCCGCAGCCCGGTATAGCTAGCATGCCGCAGACCAATACAGGGCTACGGATCGGGGGTTGGGGACCCCTGGCTTAGAATGTCTGCATAGAGGAGAATATGGAGAACTGCATGATTACAAAGATGGTTAGGGGCCTGGAAGCTAAGACATATGAAGAACAGTTACAGGAATTGGGTATGCCTAGTTTAATGAAAAGAAGGGTTAGGGGTGACATGATAGCAGTGTTGCAATATTTAAGAGACTGCCACAGAAAAAAGGAGGTCAACCTGTTCTCCAAAGTACCTGAAGGCAGAATAAGGAGCAGTGGATGGAAATTAACCAAGGAGAGAAGCAACATAGAACTAAGGAGAAATTTCCTATCAGTTATAACAATTCATCAGTGGAATGAAGTTATGGGTGCTCCAACCCTGGAGGTTTTCAAGAAGAGATTGAACAACCATTTGTCTGAAATGGTATAGCATTTCCTGCTTGAGCAGGGGGTTGGACTAGAAGACCTCCATGGTCCCTTCCAACTCTGTTATTCTGCTAACTGCATCTAAATAAACTGTATCTAAATAAAAATGAAGCTGAAGTGGTCTTTGACCTTTGTGGGCCAATGCAAAGTTGGCTAAATTTGTAAAAAAAAAAAAAAATCTGTCTCTGTAATGGATGGATCAGGAACATGAAAATTTTACTTCAAGTCCAGTTTGGGCTTACTGTGATATTGGGTCACCTTTTGGGACAGTTAGAATAGTGTTCATTTCTGAAGTTAAGTTTCTTAAGCTTGTTTCCCTA